TTTGGAGATCTATTTCATTTCTTTCTTCTTCTTTTTTCCTCAAAAGATTAAGCAATTGTATAAATAATCAAATGTTACAAGATGTACAGCCCAGAAATTTGGAGCTTGTTTGATTTGTAATTCTAAAAAAGGTTTTCAAGAATTCAGAGAATAAAAAATAATTTTCAAAGAACAATAAAATGTTCTCTAAAAATAGAGATTTGCTTGGTTTGTAACTCTGAAGACAGTTTTCAATAATTCAGAGAACAAAAACAGTTTTCAAAGAATAACAAAGATAATTCTGTGAAAACAAACATTTTTATAACTGAGTTTTCAGAAAATAGTTTTCATGAAAATTAAACCAAGCAGAGTTTTTTTTATACATTTTTTTATTCTCAGAAAATTGTTATCAGAGTTTGGTCTTTTTATAACTGAGTTTTCAGAAAATAATTTTTAGAAAACTGAATCAAGCTCGAGTTTTTTTTATACAATTTTCTGAAAACAAAAAATTATTCTTAGAATTACAAATCAAGCATGCCTTGACAACTCAAGCCCAATTTTAGAGCAAACCCAGGACAAGCCCGACCCAAGAAACAAAACTTATAAATTTTAGCCATTAATGTAGGTACAAACATCTCCAACGAAATATGTAGTAAATTAAGTAAATTTATGGTTTACAAACATCTCCAACGAAAACCTAGACTTACAAATAACAAGAGAAATTAACATTAAATAGAGTTGTTAGAAATGATTTTGACATTCATACGCAATTATTAGTAAAAAATAAATGATGATTTCTCCAATCCTCTTCTCCCGTTAGGCTTAGCATATATTGCGTCCCTCTCTTTTAAATAAATTTGATAATACACTCATTCATTTTGAGTGGGACGTACAAAATGTTGTTTGGTACCACCATGCTTCTTAATATTATATATATATATGTGTGTGTGTGTGTGTGTGTGTAATGTGGTAAAAATAAGAACCCAGAATGGCAGAATACAATGTGGAAGATCATGATATATATATATAGACGCGTAATTATACAAATTATGTGTATATATATATATATATACACACATACGAGCTTTCAATTTGCTTAGGCTTTGTTAGGATAAACATGAGTAAAGAGAAAAGAAAAAAAAGCGACCAATAATAGCTTTAGTTATGAAAGAAAAAGGAAAAAATGAATACCAATTATATTTTTATTTGGAAAAGATAGACTAGAGAATAAAATAAAAAAATTAACAATTAAATTACAATTATGCCCTTTCATAAGATAAGAAGTGTCCTAACAAGTTTTTTTTTATTTTAAGAATAATTTTGAAATATTAAAATATTACTTAATAACTATTATTTAATCTAAATATTTCTATTTTTCTCTCAAAATCTTTTCTTTTTTCTTCATTTAAGATAATTCAAACACACTTGAGAGTATTCCTTATTTCGTTTTCTTTTCAAAAGGAGCCTTAATTATATATATATGTGTGTGTGTGTGAGATATTGGTTACTGCAAAAGTTTGGGTTTGACTGGACAGGTTAAAAAGAGGAGATGATTCCTCTTGAAAGCTAAGAATTGCTATCTTTTGCTCTCTTGGCTTTTGTGGAAGGAAGAAGCCTTTGCTGGATAAAAGCGGACCTACCTCACCCCCCCCCCCCCCCCCCCCTCTCTCTCTCTCGTTATTGTTATTAGATGTGAAACACAACTCTCTCTCTCTCTCTCTCTGTGTTATTATTAGATGTGAAACACAACTATCTCTCTCTCTCTCCATTATTATTCGATATGAAACACAACTTTGAACTTTCCTTGTACCATCTCTTCTATAATTTCTATTACTTCTTCTTTTACCCATCCACGTGATCACACAGCACCGCAGCCAATAGACATGAAACACGTGTCCATTACAGATGGCAAAGTCACGAGCCGTATTGGGTTGTCTTGTAGTCCAAAAGTAGACAGGCACTTGTCATGACAATTTAAAGACCACTTTGCAGAGGCTACAATGGAGAGAGAGAGAGAAGTGAGACTCAGAAAGAAAAGAAAAGAGTTTTGGTTACTTGGCTTGGACCCAAAGACACGTTATGGCATATTTATTGCTCTACACGTGACACGTGTCACGATGCACCGCACCAGATGTTATGTCCATGACTTGGGCTCATAATTTTCACCCCATGCCCTATGCCCTAGGCATCAATTCATCCGTGAATTCATATTAAGCTCATAAACTTTTAGATGCTTCCACGTTATTAGGGTTTGTTTGATTTATAATTTTAAAAATTTTAAAAATAAAAAATAATTTTTTTTAAAAAAAAAACAAACATTTTTATAACTAAATTTTTAAAAAATTGAATCAAACAAAATTTTTTGTACAATATTCTGTTTTTAGTTTTCTAACAACAGAAAATAATTTTTCGAGAATAAAAAATAATTTCATAGTTGTAAACTAAGTAAGTTCTTAGTTTCGTTAATTATTAGATATATAAGTTTAAAATAAAATTAAGTAAAAATTATATATTATTTTTATACTGTCTAACTCTGATTACATTAGGATCAATAATCTTTGACCATGTAATAACTTATAGGTCATTAATTTGTAGGTGCTTTACAAGTGACACGTGTCTTAATGCACACACCAGATGTTATTGTCATGACAATTTTCGCCCCAGCATCATCTATGAATCCAGATTCCCTCTGTTGCATGAGAAGATTTTAGACGGTCATATTGGTTCGCTTAATTATTATTCTTACGTGTAAGTAAATATATATATATATATATATATATATATATATATATAGTAAATTTTATTATATAATTGCTTAACACCTTACTAACAATTTACTCACTCGGATTGTTACCATTAATTTTGAGAGATAAAGAAGACGTCAATAAGTCACAAAAATCTCAATAACATAGCAACGTATGCAATATTATTAGTTTGATACTACGTAACTTGCAACACTGTTTTATATAAAAATACGCATTTTTTATACCATGGATGATAAAGCATAGGGTAAATTATATGGGCTTTTTTTTATGATTTATCATAATTACAGCCCATGGTTTTGTTACAGTCAACATAAGTTAATGATGAACTTTGTTGATGTCATGTATTGAAAAATTGAAATTTAAACATTATCATTAGTCCATTTGTCTCATACATCCATATTAGTACTACAGTCATTTACTATAACAGCTTGAAGTTATTTCAGTAATTAGATAAATCTGTTTGTGTATTTGACGATTCGTCACTATGAAGATCCTTGTAAGAGGTTCGAATAATTTTTCAAATCACAAAAAAGACTCATGTAATTATGACAAACTATGAGAGATATCTGTATAATTTACTATAAAACATATGGTCAAGTGCATAAAACATCCTTAAAATATGCTTACAGTGCATATCATACCCTTTACGTACAAAAAAACACTACTCAAGTTTCAATCTGATGCAATTAGATTTCCTGAAACATTTAAAATCTAAATTAACCAAATTATCCTTATTGAATAATTTTATAAAATATATAAAAATAATTATTTTTGAAAAAAGACCAAAAAAGACGCTGTTTTTCCCTTCTCATCTCTTCAACTCTGTCACCGCCTCCTCTTCCTGCTCCCCACACAAGACCTGGTTCTTTTTTGCCTTTGCTTATTGTCTTTGACTTGGGTGGGAGTCTGCCAGAACCAGTTAGCATCCTCACCCAACCACAAAAATCTACTGTGAGATTTGTTTTTTGTTTTTAAAGATACTATCATTTCTCTCTCTATAATTCATCTTCAACAACTACCCCTATCTTCTCTCCACAACCCAACACCAGAATCAATTAATGCCATAACCCAAAAATTAATCAATAATCACCACAACCCCACCATCCTCGACCACCATTCACCGGGAAATTTCTCTCTAGTGAGAGTTCGGATCCGGGTGAGGCGGAGGAAGATGCAGTGATGGCAGCGGTCGTGATGCGAATAGCACTGTCGATTCCTCGGGCCGCCCCTACTCTTCATCTAGATGACGTCAAGCCACGATGTTAACGGTGAATCCAGTGAACAGGACCGGTGGAGATCGTCTTCTGTGGCAGTGTTCCAAGGCCAACGTCGTCGATTGCTCTGGGTCTTTTTCTACTCTGGCTTCTTGAGAACCTTCTAAAAGGCCTCTGTTGATCTGGGTCTCTCTTTACTGTTTTCCTTGGTCCTTACGGGGTTCTCATAGTCAGGTTTGAGGCAGACGGATCAGGTGTGAACACCGAAATTTTTGGCGTGAAACACAAGGATCAATGGTGGAGACGGCGAGCACAAGACGACAGAAGATGATTGCACGAGCATTTTAAGAAAAATAAAAAGATAAAATAAATATTACAATACTAATTTATTTTAAATTTATGATGAATAAATTTGTCTAATATTAAAATATTATTAATTTTTAAATATAAATAAAAATGTTACAAAAAAACATACTTCAATAGTGTTTTGTGTTTTGTGCAGTCCCCCCTAAAACATACAATATTTGATTGGATAAATACTCGCAGGCATACACGCAAATATCATTATAACTTATTATTTAAAAAGTACAAGAAAGTATACCGGTTACACTAATGACCAAGTTGTTGATTTAATGTTTATATGGTGAGTTTTGATGATTTTCGAAGTAAGAACTAAGAACTTGTCCTTGTTTATTTATTCTTCTGTCGCTCTCCCCTCTTTTATTTATTTATTTATTCTTTCCGATAGCAAAATGCTGCAAGAAAAAGAAAATGTTTTAACTATGAAATAATATTTAGTCTTTCTGAAAATATAAGACCATTACTAAAATGTTTTTAGGAAAAAAAGAAAAACAAATTCTATCTAGAATAGACTAAAAATCTCTAGACCGAGGAAAATTGAAATTCTTTGATAAAGGACTAGAAAAAAATGGAATAGATAGGACTTTAATTAAACGGTATTTTTTTTTTCATAAAAAGCGAAGAGAGAGCTCATGAACAAATTAACACAAATAAAAATAAATAAAAGAGAGAGAGAAGAGACTGAAATAAATTAACACAAACACTAGTGGGACCAAATAAATACACAACAAACCCCTAATTAACAACAGAAACCAAACTATGTGAGAACATAAAATTAAAAATAAAAAAATAAAAAGAGAAGAGAGAGCTCATGAACAAGATGTCATCATACACACAAAGGCCAACAAATAGATAAAAAGAAATTTTTTGACAGATCTCTTGTGGCTTAGTTGGTGGGGTTGCTGCGGAAGGATCCCAAAGCCTTGAGAGCTGCAGCTCTCAAGATGTACTGGTGATATGCAGCCGCCGCCAAAGCTCCCACAAACGGTCCAACCCAGAAAATCCACTGCAATCACACATCAACCCATATGTCAATACAACAACATTCACACACAACTGCACACACATCACGCACACACCCACACACACACACACACATATATATATATATATAGAACTCACGTGTTCATCCCAAACTTTGTCGTTGTTGTAGATGACAGCTGCACCAAAGCTCCTAGCAGGATTGATTCCAGTTCCAGTGATGGGGATGGTGGCCAAATGAACCACAAAAACAGCAAATCCAATAGGTAGAGGAGCCAAGACCTACATGCAAATCAAACCCATCATAAATATATACATACATACATCTGTAAATATAAATATATACAGATATTCATCATCTTATATATATGGAGTTCTACTTACAGGCACGTGAGAGTCACGTGCGCTCCTCTTAGGGTCAGTAGCTGAGAAGACGGTGTAGACAAGGACAAAAGTACCAATAATCTCAGCACCAAGGGCAGTGCCCTTGTTGTATCCTGTAGAAATCGAGTTCGCGCCACCGCCCAGTGAGTTGTAGGAGTGTTTCATAAAAGCCTTCACTAACCCTACACCGCAGATAGCACCCAAACTCTGTGCTACCATGTAAGCCACTGCCCTTGTCAGGGACACCTTCCTCGCCAAGAACAACCCAAATGTCACCGCCGGATTTATATGACCACCTGCGCAATTTTTACGAAAAAACCATAACAGATAGAGGGATTAGATGATGATGAGAAGAAGAAAAAGGGTTTGAAGGGAGTATTGTGGGGATTTATTTACCGGAGATGCCCGCGGTGCAGTAGACGAGGATGAAGATCATGCCGCCGAAGGCCCAAGCGATGCCGAGGAGGCCGACGCCGTCGCATGGGCCGCTCTGCTTCTTGTGGCCGATGACGGTGGCCACGGTGACGTAGAGGAAGAGGAGGGTGGCGATGAACTCGGCGATCAGGGCTCTGTAGAAGGACCACGTCTTCAGCTCCGCCATGTCGATCAGCGGTGCCGGTGGTGGGTCGACGTAGTCCTGCTTCCGGCCGCCGTGTTGATCGGATGCTCCTTCGCTCAAATCCTTCGACATTTTATCTCTCTACAACTTTCTCTCTCTAAAATCTGTGTCTCTCTAGCTAAGCTTGTTTTCTCTCTGGAGTGGAATTGCAGTGATGAGACTGAGTTGCTTTTAAGAATGGAGATAGAGCATTTATGGATAAGTTAGGGGCTTTTTTGGGAATTAAATATTGTGAATATATAGATACATATAGAGAGAGAGAATATATGTCTTGAGGAAAGAGAGAGAGATGGTTCTGTTTAATTTCTAGAGAGAGAGAGAAAGTGGAGTGTGGGGACCACTAAGACAGCGAGACCATGTGATGGCTAATCATCTCTTCCGGGGGGACTGTAATTCGTCAGCCTGGCCTCCAACTAAAAGCCACGCCTCACAACGGTTATATGTTGTCTGTTGCTTACTTTTTCTCTCTTTAAAAATATTTATTCCTTGTTTTCCAATTTTGCCCTTCAGGGCACACCCTTTTTACTTTAACAGTTGGGACTCTCCTTCTTACTGGGGGTGTCACATGAATAATGCGGTGAATTTGCAATTTGGGATTTATTTGTGACCTAGTCCCTATGCTTAAAAAAGGGAAAAATTTTGGGTTATTTGTGACCCTAGTCAATATGCAATTAAAAAAATTAATTAATTATTATTTTTTTTTGATAATCCCGTCTTAAATAATTTGTAAATATATATATATATAGTTCTTTTATATATTGTAAGTGATAACTTAAAAACTACACACACTTTTTATAAAGGAATCGTGTTCATTCGATATAGATACTTTAATTTGTAAGACACTTCTCGAACACATGTCCAATACTTTGTATATACTTTTATTATTTTGGATACTTAACTCATTGTAACATTTCTAACACAAGGTGTTCAACTTTTTTTTTATAATGGAAATTAACATTATACATATGAGCATAAGTGAAGCATAACATTATTAAGATATCTGTGTTACACGGAGCAAATTGCTAGGAAGCAAGGACATACACATCATATACGAAAATTGTTTAGGATATCACAAAGTTAAGAGTGATAAAATTAGAGAAAATATCACTCTTATTAGTGATAAAATTAGAAAAAAATAGGCTTAGAAAGTATGATCATATATATCATATAGGGAGACATCCATCAAAAACGCTTAACAAAATCCAAAACTTACATGTGAACAAGTAATTAAAAGTAATTTTAAAAAACTAAGTATTACCAGAGAAATGATTAATAATTCTCCGTAGAAAATAATGAAAAAAAAAAAAAAAAAGGAGAATACGACTTGATGCTTAAGCTTTGGTCTAAATAGGATTTTTCCAAAACTGAGATATTATTAGATTAAATTAAAATTGACTCCTGTTTATTAAAAAAAAAAACAGTCATGCATGTTCAATATTTAATTACTAGTACCAATAAATCAATAATATTTTTGCAGAATGACTCTCTTTATTAGGTGGAAGCATCCTCAAAGTTGTCTTTTGATCTGTCCTCATCCATCATCCTTGCTATTTTATGTAACTGAATGAATGAATGGTAAAGACGTAGAACACTATATATACACACACACACTATATCTTAGCACTCCTCCTAACCAACCATACAGACATATTACCCGGATCAATCATGCATCTGTCCCAAAGATTTTTTTTTTTTTTTTCCCAAAATGTCCCTCGATAACCTCCTCATAGAAGAGCGTGTAATTTTATACTACTATTATACAGACAAATTCATCTTTATATCATACGAATGTAACGGTATCTTAGTTATTTGCAGGAATCTTCTAGTGGTCCAGGGGCTTTATTGGAAAGCAAAAATATATACATTTTTTGTGTGGCTCGATATATATATTAATCATATATTCATATACTTCTTCTATAATTTGGTCAAACTAAACTTAAACTAATAAGAATTGAATTAAAATTAATCACTAAAAATATAAGGAAAGAAAAAGAAAAATAAAAATAAGGTCACTCAAACACGAAGCCTGAACCCTTCAGTACTTGCACCACCAGGCCTAATAAACTTTGCACGATTTACTCATATATAATATTTATCCAAACTTAAAAAATATTATTGTAATTTATTTTAATTAAATTCAAACCAATTCAATAGTGACACGTATTAGGACTGCAAAACCCTGGATGTTTCCAAGCTATTATTTTTTAACCGTTGGAGATTGGGAAGAAAGGGACTGGTCTCTCAGCTTTTCTTTTCATTTTTTTTCTTTCTTTTTCATATTCAACGGTCATTTTTCAAATTTGTGGTTACGACAGAGTGAGTGAAGATATCCCCTGGCGCACGTTAAATGCCTTTCACTTTCTGGAAAGCGACCCGCCATTCTCCACAAGATAATCGAGACGGATATATATATATATATATATATATATATATATATATATATATATATCTAGATAATATAATAATAATAATAATAAGCCTCTCATACGAATCATACGATAATGACATCAGCTTTACCCAAAGCCGCAATCTTTTCTATGGCATCTTTCTTTTTGGATATTCGAAAAACCCTGCATTAAATATATATATATATATATTCTAAACCTCTAGGCTTAAATTTTTAAATTTAAATTTAGGGTCTAAATAAAAGACAAAAATTAATTTTGAAAAATCCAAAATAACCAATTCCATGAACCAAATGCTGGTAAAATTCAGTGTGAGTTCCCTTCCAATGCTTCATGGTGTATTGTATTTTTGTTGTTTAGTTCGACCAGACGTTTATTTATCAATTTTTCAATATGCATTAGATTAGCATTAAAAAAAAAATTAAGTTTTGAAAAAAATGTCGTTTTATGTTTTAGATGAAGTTACAGTATATATTATGTTTTACTCCTATTGTCCTAATTTTTAGGTTTAAAATCATAAAATCTCCTCCTACTATCAAAATCATGCATAAAACTCCCATTAGAAAAAAATAATAATAATAAATAAATAAATAAATCTGAATTAACAAAATTTATCAAGTTACTTCCAAATTGGTAACCGACACTTTAAATGAGTTATGAAATGTCAAATTAGATCTTGTTATTTAATATTCAATTAAAATTCATAATAATTATTTTAAAATTACAAAAAAAATATTGGGGCGAGAAATGTTATCACTAGCAAAACTAACATTAAATAATATTATTATAAAGGGACATTTTTGTAATTTTAAAATAATAATTATAATAATATATTGGGGTTTTAATATTATTTAATATTAGTTTTACTAAATTTATTTAATTTATTAGAAGGTCAAATTTAATAATCCACAACTCATTTAATAGGTCGATCACGGATTTTGGAGTAACTTGATAAATTTTATTAATTTATGGGGTTTTATAATTCTATTGGCGGTTTTATGTACAATTTTAAAAGTAGTTGGGAATTTTATAATTTTAACCCTTATTTTTATTACTCATTTCTTTTTTGAATTGTTCCAAATTTTAAAACTGAGTTAATTTCATAGACACACCCTGATGTTTGGTTAAACCTTACGTAGAGATATTTTTTGAAAATTACTATCACACATGTTACAAATATCTGAGTTGTTTGTCCCTCAAACTCCAAATGTCACTTTTCAGATGTATCAAAGCACTTTTGGTATGTAAATGACATTTTACCCCTTTTGACTTTGTATTGACTTACTAAAGAGTTATTTTATGTATAAAATGATGCATGCATTTTTACCCCTCTTTCCTTGTTCTCTCACTAAATAATTATATATATATATATATATATATATATATATATATATATATATCTTCTTGAGAAATACTACAAATTTAAGCTCAAGATTATTTATATACATATATAATAATTTTAATATTAAATAAAAATTTAATAGAAAATTAAATATATTCAAAAATTAAATACATTATGTATAAATTTTTATTTAAACATATATGCTAAGACGCTTTATATTTATTAGGGTCTAAGTAATAATATTTTCAAAAAGTGTCTCCATATGTGATTTGTCCAAATTTCTTACAATTTTCCAATCGATGGAGTAATTGTTAATTTTGTAAAATTCAAGTGGCGGCATTTATTAGGAAAGGGAGGTAGCAATAAATAGAATAAGAGGTGGAAATCAAATTTTCTTGAATAAATTATTATTTTTTGGTTCATTTAAATCACGTAATATAAGAACTTAAATAAATAAATTTTTTTATGACATTTTGAGAGTAATACGGACCAATATTACACCATTCTTTTTTATATATAAAATTTCTTTTAGAAAGATAAAAAAAAATCATAATATTTAATTAATTTATAAAGTAAAAAGTGTTAGAAGTTAGATAAGTTAATGTAGAGAGTCAAAATTTGACACTCCAAAATTTACTGAAAGTAGGGCGGACCTAGAACTTTAGGGAAGGGGACAAGGCTGAAATTTTGTAATAATTTTAGGGGGGCATTAGTAATATTTTAGGGGTATATATACTAATAATGAAAAATCGCGGCTGCTAGGTCGGTCCCTTAGGGGAGACACTAACTCACTAGATTATTTAGCAATCTGCTATAAATTTTTATTTTAAAGACATAAAAAATAGTAATTTGATTTTTGTAAGAACATTTTATTGATTAGCTTTCCCTCAAAAAATTTCTTCTTATGCTATTCAGACTTTTTAAATGTTAAAAGATTTGTTTACAATATCTTCATGGTTAAGGTTTGTTGGAAGAAAAGTAAAAAAAGAAAAAGAAAAAGTGCGTAAGTGAAAAGTAGAAGAATAGAATATATATCTCTCGAGTAAAAAGGTTGAACCTTTCGTTGTGTTTTTTCGGTCAAGCAAGAAGGAAATAAGAAATGAATGGAAGGGAAATTATTTATTTCTCACTTTCCTTTTCTTCTTTTTTGGAACGAAATCATTTCTTCGCTTCCCTTCTTTTTACCTCTCTTTCTTTTCATATTTCCATCCCATCAAACTTGCGTGGTCGGTTCAAGATAAAATTGCCTCCAAAAAAGTACTTTAAATTAAAATTAATGGAACTAATTTTTTTATAAAAAACTCAGAGTGGACTCTCAATTTGACATTGAGAAAGATAGTGAGAACGATTTTGTTACATATAAACTTAAATTTATTTAGCAGCTAAATATGATCGTTTTATTTATTTATTTTTGATTTCGAACAACATAGATATAAACATGTAAGTTG